CGCGGCGGGAGGGGGATCGCCCCCCGGATGGGGCTGCGGAGAGGAGGGCTCAGGGGCCGTGGAGGGCCAGGAAGAGGTGGCCTGGGCCGAGGGGCCATGGGCCGAGGGGGGCTCGGAGGCAGAGGTGAGTGTGCCCAGACCTCAGGGATAACGGGAGTTCAGCTGCAGTCCTTTCTCCTGCTCAAGGTCGGGGTGTGGAACCTCCAACCTCTAAAATTCCAAGTCTGGAATTTGAAAAGCTCATTTATCCAAGAGCTGGTTATTTTTAACAATAAAATGGAGAAGGGGCTTGAATTGGGTGGGAGAGGAAAACCTGGAGCCAGCTGTTGGAGGAGGGGTGGGGACAGCCAGATGTTATGGTTGGGCTGGGACTAAGGAATTCTCGGGAAGCTCCCGATTCTTCAGCAGCTTTGAGCGGTGGCTCTTGGGCTGACAAACACAGAGGGGACTGGAGCGAGCTGGGCGTGTATCCATGGCTCCACCATCTCTCTGGGCACCTGGAGGGCTGGGGTAGGGAATCGGGAGTTGAGAATTCCTTGGCTGGAAGTTGTGACTGGTTTTCCATCCCTGCCAGGTCGCGGCATGTCCAGCCGGGGCCGGGGCGGCTTCGGGGGCCGCGGGAGAGGCCGAGGCCGTGGCAGAGGCTCCGCACGGCCAGCCCTGACCAAGGAGCAGCTGGACAACCAGCTGGACGCCTACATGTCCAAGACCAAGGGACACCTAGACGCCGAGCTGGACGCCTACATGGCACAGACTGATCCCGAGGCCACCGACTGAGGGGCCAGGACTGCCCACGGAGCTTGTGCTGTGCTGGGAGAGCCCTTCTCCATTCCCCATGGAGAATTCAGACTTAGTGTGTTCTTCGATGTTTTGATACTCTCTCTGTTGTATTAAACTTTTTTTTGGATTGTTTTTTGGGGGGGATCTTTTTCGGTGTTTTTTTTTTCCCCCCCCTGAGGAAAATGGGATGGATCCACCACTGATGATGCGTCCGTGGGATGGAGGTCAGGCCTTGGTGTGCCTCTGGAGCTCCATGGTTGGGGTTTGAGGTGTTTCTGTTGGATTTGGGGATGTTTTCGTTGTGTTCTGGGATGCTCTTGTTGGGATTTTGGGATGGCTCGGTTGTAGTTTTGGATCGCCAGGTTCACTCCTGTAGAGTTCAGTTGAACCCACCTGAAGCCAAACCCAACCATCCCAGCAGGGCCAAGAGCCCAAGTTTAGCTGTTGTTTTCCTTCAGGATGCTCAAATCCTCTTGTTCCACACCAGAAGTTCCTGTAGGTTGGAGCAGGAGGAAAATTCCCTTTTAGTGGATTTTTTTGGGGTTTAAAGTTCCTTTGGCACCGTGTTTCTGTGGTTCAAGTGCTTGTTTAAAGGAATGGGAGGCAGGGACATAAAATTCCAGCTGGGACAACGAAGCAGAGCATCAGAACTATCTCTTACAGCACAGACTCCAAAATCTGTCATTTTTCCCCAAAAAACAATTGAGCCCCGTGGCTTGGTGAAGGGTTTGTGATTCCCTTCCAGGTTTGAATTTCACCCTTTCTGTGACCTATTCTGGTTCCATTGGAATCTTGCATTTCTGGTTGGTTATAACAAAGGAGAAAATTCCCAAAGCCATGTTTAGGGGTTGGGGTTTTTTCCCAGAAAATGGGATTTTTCTCCTCCTCCTCTGCCATGGAATTACTCTATAGGGGCAGAAGGAAGTGGAGGGAATGCGGTCACA